CTGGTGGGTTCGAATCCAACCCCGGCCTGCCAAACAATGACAACTACAACCAAAAAATAGCTGGGCATTGTGGTGGGTGTCTGTAGTCCCAGCTACTTGGGAGGCTGAGGCAAGAGAATTGCTTAAGCCCAAGAGTTGGAGGTTGCTGCGAGCTGTGACACCACAGCACTCTACCGAGGGTGACACAGTGAGACTGTCTCAAAAAAAAAAAGTCAAAGATGTGAATTCTTTCCAGTCAGTGTATGCACTCTTCAGGAAAGAAAGGTAGATTCTGTGTTCTGTAGCTGTGTGGATATAAAGTGAGAGAGCCTACCTGTGGGCAGAGGCAGCCAGAGGGAAGCAGATCAGGGAAGCAGATCAGGGAGACCGGGAGACGGCACCACTGGTGCATCCGGATCCAACTGTGCCTAAGGCCCAGCGCTAATCCTGTGTGCTTCTGTCCTGTAAGCCAGCAATATAACCCCTGCTAATTGCTTAAGCCACTTTACATTGGCTTCAGACAGTCCTGACTAATAGCTATTAGCTGACCTTGGCCATTTCACTTCTGTGTTCTGTTCAAAGGAAATAATAACACCTGCTCATGGCGTTGGTGTGATACCTAAATGAGATAATGAGTTAAAGCACCTCATTAGGTGTCTGGCACACAACACGCTCCTGTGTCGTACCACAGTTATTCTTTTGTAGCAACTGGGTTAGAGCCATGTTAATCAAACACGTATGCATGACTCAAATGAGACTGCTCCATCTTGTCCGGGAGAAAAACCTAATTATCAGGAAACTGGCTTTAGCCCTCACTAACATAAAGAACTGGACGGAGACCAACTGGCTCCATGGAGTGAGCAGCCTCATTGAGGAGGCCCATGAGGTGAGAGACTGCAGGTGGGCCCCAGCCAGCAGAAACCTCAGACCTCAGTCACACAGCTGCAAGGAAAGGAATCCCATTTGTAGCTGGCAGAGTTGACAGATGACCCTTCCTCAATTGAGCCCCCAGATAAGAACTCAACCCAGCTGACGCCTCAATTGCAGCCTAATGGACTTTCAGCAAAGGACCCAGGAAAGTATTCCCAGATTTCCACCCTGGGGAAACTGAGACAACAGATATGCATGTTGTTTTAGGTCCTAACTTTGTGATAATTTGGACACAGTGTGGAAAACTAAAATAGCTTTCTGCAGAGGTCTTGGGTTGCTGAGAGAAGACACTAGAAATCCTTCATCATGGAGGCAGGGCACAACTTCTCAGATATTCTGGTTACTTTGGCTGCATCACGATTCACCCCAAAACATGGTGGTTTGAAGAAATGATCATGTATTACCTCTAGTAGTTTCTGTGGGACAGGAATCCCACAGAATCTATGGGGCTGCAGTCATCTGAAGGCTTGACTGTGGCTGGCAGATCTGTTTCCAAG